CCCTCTTTTGCCCCACGCACCACTGAACTCTGACCCTCTGACGGACTCTCCCACTCCCCCCTCCCAAATACACACACACACTGTCACTTTAATCAGTCTGAATAAACTCTTTTGCACTACAAATCATTGTATCTGCACTGTTGTTTACTTCACTGGTTTGCACTCTATCTGCCATGTGCCTTGTGCTGCTTTATATATTTTTTTACATTTTACCTTATTTGTATAATTGTATAGTTGTATTTTATATTTAAATCTGTATTTATGTTCTACTGTTAGTGTTATCTGTATGCACCAAGGGTCTGAGAGTAACGCAATTTCAATTATCTGTGTGTATGTGCTGTACATGTGGAAGAATTGACAATAAAGCAGACTTGACTTGACTTGATATTAATGTTTTATATTCATTGTTTTTTAAATTTAATGTTTGTGTGTGTATATATATATATATAAAATGTATGTATATGTGTGTGTGTGTGTGTGTGTGTGTGTGTGTATAACAACAAAATGCGTCCTTGCACTTCCACTGTGTCCAATATTCCAACACTCATAAAAAGTGTTCCTTTAAAGGTTTGCTCATTCTTTCGATTCATATGTGTTCAGAGTGACCCTGACTATCACTGTCTTCATTTTCAAGGCATTTTACTGTATAGTTTTGGAGAAAACTAAAAGCAAAATCACCCAAAACATCAAACTCCATTGTTGCACTTTGATTATGTCCGCATATTCCAACCTTCATAAAAAGTGTTCCTTTATAGGTTAGCTCATTCTTTTAACTGATATTTAGTTGATATGATATTATTTTTTTTCAAAAAAGCAGCTATTATGTCTGATGTCGCCAATAATTAGAGATGCACTGAAATTCCGGCTGCCGAAAATTAGTTCACCGCAGAGCCATAGAAAGAGTCTATGACTATAGCGTAGTTTTCATATCAGACAGTTAAAAATGACATTTTACACGTAGCCTAATTGTATTTTTACCTGGCAAACCAACTCATACACTCATACTCTGGATTTATTTATTTATTTATATCTCTGTAAAAGATTTTTGATGGATCATCCAATGGGAATTCCATTAGGCTACATTTTAAATGATCATCATGTTGTAAATTTCAACACACCAACATGAGTTCAGTGAACAAAAATGTTGTAAAACATGATACACATCACATCATGTTCCCTGCATGAACACAAGCCACCGGCCCAGACCATTATCTGTTATGTGTAGGATTTTACAAGCCATGGGGAAGAGATGTGTATCATGTTGTATCACTGAACACTGTTCTGTAACCAATATATTACAGCAGATATTTCATCAATGGTCCATATGATTACACTGCATGCCTGATAGGCTAAATATGGTTAATATCTGAATGTCACTTTATATATAAATTCAAAACAGCATATATATCACTCAATCTCCTGTATATATGAAAATCTACAGTGAATATAAGGCTACAGTAGATCATATGTCCATTTGATCCAACTATGTGTATTAAGTTTTACATTTAATTTTAATACATTTTTTACATTTTAAATATGCCGTGCTTCCACTGAGGAAATAATAATAATAATAATAATAATAATAATTATTATTATTATTATTATTAGCCTGTAATACACTAGCCTCAGGAAAAAAATAATGCTTTGGTGGACACACAGCCTTAGGATTGCAGAGTAGGTTACCTTAACAATCTTCTTGCTTATTTACTCTGATGTAATAATCAGTAGACAAGCCATATGTCTTGATCTGATTTGAAAGACTTTGAAAGAAACAAAGCCAAGTACATTATCAACCATAATAGTAGGAATTACATTTATACAATTCCATGGGAAAATTCAATGTAGGTTACCACAATATACTGTATAAGCTAACACTGATCTTGCATTTCCTAATCACCAGACACTGAAGTAAATTACCAATAACCAAAGGTTTCAACACAATCAAAATATGAAGTCTATCGACAAACGTGTGAATCTTAATGTGAAGCTATATGAGTGAAGGCCAAACATGTTTTGTTGTAAATGTTGTTCAGAGAGAAACCTAAAGCTGGTCTGCTATTCATTTTCTGTCATATCAGCAGGTCCCTGATTGAGTTTGTGTTTCCTTGCAGAAGTCGGATTCAAATGTTCCCAAAAACGATGATCAGATACTGTATCTACTGGAGCTGACTTTAAGAGTTCATTCAAGCCCCTGCCTCACACCTTTTGGTTTTTATTCTCTGCGCAGTCGTCTCAGTTTTATTTTTCCTCTTTTGATTTCATCTATATTTTTTTCTTTGCACATGTACTCTCAGTTATTGTGATGTCTGAAATAGTGTTGCTCTGTTTAATTTAGTGGCTCACAAATAGCACATCATCCAGAAACTCAACTAAATGTTCTCTATCATATGGAAACTTAAAATCCATCCAACGTGCCCCGTTTTTTTTTTTTTGCAAATTACTGCTCTTGTTTTATCCTTCTTAGAAAATGTAAGTGCATTACATAGTGGTCTACACGATCATCACACACTACTGTATTTGCTCTGCTGGACATTTTAGCACTTGTAGCACACGCACAACATCGCTCTCTAGTGTCCAAAGAACAAAATCACATCTTTTATAGAGCTACTTTTACCTGACATTCTCACAGAATGCGCTGTAAATACATGCTGCTGGAAACGCCAAAGAACCAACAGGCTAATGTACAAAAAAAGACGCCTTACCTGATGCCTGTTTGATCAATACCAAACTCATTTAAACAGATAATGCAACACACTTATTCCTGCTATTGGCCCTATAAGATAAAGATAAAGACAGACGGTTATTAATACTAAAGATCAAATGATAATCGGCTTTACTTATATTCTTGACTAACATTCACATTTTTCAACTTTGGGCAAAACTTTTTAAGATATATATATTTAACTGATAACTGGCGCCATCTGGTGGAGTTTTAACAGCAGGTAATAGCCTCAGTACTGTGAGCAAGACAGAAAACACCGGAGAACGTCTCGGTTACGTATGTAACCCTCGTTCCCTGAAGGAGGGAACGGAGACGTCACGTCGGAGGACTGACGAAATTGGGATCTCGCTTAGAGGGACCAATCTACTTCGAGTGTAAACTACGCAAACCTCAGGAATGGCCTGTGGCGCAGAAGGATCGAAACATGAAAGTACGTGTCCTTCAGGTTGATCGCTGCGAACCAGTCTTGGGGACGGATACACCTGAAAGTGTAAGATGACTGCATTTCTCATGGATGATCTTGAACAGCCTAATGAACATCATACAACCAACTTCCTGATTCTGTACATTCATTCACACAATTACGGCATACAATAGTTTCAGACCCTTACTTAGACCCTTCTCGTGAATATTAGCCATTTTAAAAGCTGGAAGATTAATTTATTTTCCCACTATATGACTATAATGTTACTAATTCTATAACATAATCTATGTTATATAACTATAACATAAAAACAGTAAACAGTCAGCGGGATGAAAGGGTTGAAGGCCACTGAGTTTTTTTTTTTTGATTGGTTGCTTAGTGGGTGGAAATTTCACACCTTCCTTTACTTACACCAGATGAGAGTTACCCAACAACACCTCTCATTATACGGCTAGTATTAAATTATTTTACAATAAAATTTGGGTGGGGACAAATATTTTGGGGAAATATAATTGAATACTGTGTGCACACAAAGGGAACCGTTTTACCTTTATTAAGCCAACCAAATAACCTTTGAAATCAAAAACAACTTCTAAATCAATTAAACAAATTCTAAATCCTAAGTCATTCTTATGATAATTTTGTTGTTATTATTTATCTGCCTCTTTGTCAGAAAAAGTTTCTCATCATGTAATTTTTTAGATTAAAGGGTCTTAAAAAGCTCATAACAGCAGGAGAGGAAGAAGCTCTTCACCTACAAACTGAACACACATGCAGTGAACAAACACTCTCGTCTACAAGATGTTTGTCCACCAACAGATCAAACCACATTTCTGAAAGCCAACCGCAGCAGTTTCCAGTTTGACTCAGAAGCTGAACCTCAGTAAAACTGGTACTGTTTTAACATTGGTTCCACACACAGCAATTTAAAAATCGAATAAATATATACAACCATTTAAAATCACAAGGGTTAGGCTCAATTTTTCAATGAAATGTAGTTCTTTTAATACTCTGCATTATTCTTCTACTTTTAGCCATTTAACAGTCCAAGAAGAACTATCTTTCAAAAAGTATGTGTATGTGAAACTGATAAAAATAAAACAAATTTCATCCATTAAAAACAGTTAAAATGAAATTAAAAACAGTCTTAATAAGGGCCAGAAGAACTATAACATTATCATATGCAAAAACAGCATAAGAACTAGGAGGGTCAAACTCAGTCGTGGGTGGATTCACTTATAGGTTGAGGGTTTTTAGTGAATAGTTTGATTTGATCAGACACTGAACAACTGAAATGTCTCACTTGTTTGTTTTGTTCTGTTTTTGCTGGTGGAGTCCGACTGGTTTGTCAATTTCATTATTCTTATCAATATGTGATTTTTACTTTTGAATAATTACAATTTTGCCACTGTGACGTTATTACTTGATGCCTAATGTAACATATGGACCCTGAATTAAAAACACTGACAACCCAGTCTCAACCTGCTTCAAGTTAGCTTATCTTATGTGTTTTGTGCTTTGTATAGAAACTTGAAGAGGATGTTCATGTGGTGTATGCTCCTGTCACTATATGAGAAGGTGATCTTAATTAAACCTTTTCTAGTATCCTCGTCTTCACCAGGAATCTCCTGCGACAACTGCAGATTCTAAGTCTATGGTTGAGTTTTAGGATTGGTGAGAATCACCACATATACCTGTATGTTGGCTCCAACAAAAATAATGCAGATGATATGAGGTGAAAACTTTTTTAATAGTGTGATATTCAGAGATGGACTAATGAAATGGTCCCTAAAAATCTTGAAATACAAATACTTTTACCATTTATCTACATCATGATCATACATCCCAATTCAGCATTGTTGTTTGGCCCTTTAAGTCTCAAATTCAGAGCATATACAGTATGTTTATCTATAAAACGCATTAATTTACCTCTGTACAGACATGTGGTTTGATCCGTTGGGTGGAGAAACATCTTCTGCATCAGGCTATTACTGGATGTTTGTGGTTGATGCCAGTTTGTGAGTGTGTGTCTGAGGTGTAAATAGTGTGTGATTAAAGTTTTTAAAATAGTGTGTGGTTAAAGAAAAACGTTTTTTTTTTTTCATTCCTGCTCATATGAAAATCATTGTTTGACTTCTGCCCTATAACAGCTTCATCACTGCTGGCCTTTGTCAAAAGCATAACAGTGTGCCGGCCAAGGGCAAAACATGCTAACTACACTAAAATAAATAAAATAGTTATTAAAGACTGTGCTCTGTTCTAAGACGAATGAGCTTGGCTCAAATTTTGGTCAATTTTCAACAACTTCAGCCAGTTGCAGTTGGTGTAATTACAAGATCTAACGGCGGGAGCTGACTGACCATGTTAAAGTCGGCATTTCATATTGCGATCCAACATTTGCCTCACATTTCAGGATGAAAAGACAAACATTTCGGGTGAAGGATAATCCACTTCTTACCTCCGAGACTGTGTTATGATCTATATGACCTTATTATTTTTATTGTGAGTATTAGGCTTATCATTACTGCTGATCACTGTTGTGCTATGATATTGTAATATTTACCATTATATAATCAGAGGAGTATAGAAAAGTTTATGAAAGTGTCACTCCATAATACAATAGCAAAATATATAAATATGTATAGCCTTTTTAT